AGTAAAAAAAAAAAAAAAAAAAAAAAACAAAAAAAAAAAAAAAAAAACGAAAAAACAAACTTTCTTCTGTAGGACTCCCAGTAGTTCCTGAAGGAATAATTTTATTTTATTTATTTTTTCCATTAAATTTATTGATATATTTTAGGTATACAGTATAGTTGCATCCATCATTGGGGTCTTGTACCTTTAAATCATGTATCTTGGTTCTTATTTTTTCCCCATTCCCCTGCCCTCCTTTCATCCCCTCCACCCTTCCCTATTTGCAAAGACTTTCTTTCCACTTTTTCAAAAAGGAGTAATTTTATTGCCGTTGTGAGTGTACTCAGTGGTAAAATTCACAAGGCCCTGGGTTGTATCCCAGCACCACACACACACACACACACACACACACACACACACACACACTGTAAGAGCGAGCGACACCATGTTGACCAGCAAACAACCTAGAGACTGTCGCTCCCCCCATCCCTTACAGGATAACTAATGATTCATTGTGAATTGTTAGGTAACTGCTTTGAAATAGCTGGGAAACTAAATGGAAACTGTAGTGAACACAGAGACCCAACACAAACCACGCCACTCCTTACTTGCCTGTAGTTGAATGTTCTGAACATCATAATCTAAGTTGTAAATGGAATAATGGATAATCGATCTGCTGGTCATTAGTACGTGACGGTCAAGTATATGCTTGAGATACACATATTAAGAGATCAGAAGAAGCTGGGCACAGTGGTACGTGCCTGTAATACCAGCACTCAGGAGCCTGAGGCAGGATGGCTATGAGTTCAAGGCCAGCCTGGACTAGGTAGTGAGATCCTATCTTAGAAAAGAAAAAAAAAAAAAGATATCACAAGTAGCTTCCTGGTAGGCAGAACAGAACAGGGCTGGCACAAGGGTTTACCAACGTCATCGACGACCCAAGTTCTGTTTGCCTGCTATACTTAGCAAGGTGGCTAGTGCTCTCGACACAGAGTAGCTGCTGCAGCTCCAGCCATCCCATTTGTGTCTAGAGAAGGAAAAGAGGGAAAGAATGGGCCCAGACATACCTGCCTTCCCTAATGGGATAACAGAGGCTTTCCCAGAAGTGTTGCACTAGTATCTACAGAACTGTGTCCCCTGTCCTCCCAGTGGATGTGCTCACGTCAGTAGCACACATACCATGGTCCCAGTTCAGTGGGAGACTGGGCATTCAAGTGTGCACTTTTTAGCGGTAGTGTAGTCTGGCAACAGATCGGGGCCTGGCAGAGGCTGCCGGGTTCCACACCCGCAGTGACATCCTCCATGCCATTAAACATTTTTTTCTTCCTTTTTTCACGACTTCAACCTGTGAGTCAAATGCATGTATCAGCTGGGAGGGGTGGCCCAGGCTGTCGTCCCAACACTCAGGAGGCTGAGGTAGGAGGATTGCTGTAAGTTCGAGGCCAAGGGCAGCCTGACTACATACTGAGACCCTGTCTCCAAAAAACGAGAAATAAATAAATAAAAAGTATATTCTGATGCTTGGCTGGCCTGAATCATATTTTTCAGTTTTTTTATTGGGATACAATTTACATATAAACCGGATCGAGACCTATGCGGCCCAGAAATAAAAGAGGCACCTTTTCCTGCTTTTCTGGGTCTGTTCCTCTGCGGAGCTTGACTCAGGATAGGAAATGAGGGCTGCGGAGCCGGCCGAGCCGGGAAGGGATCTAACCCAGCCGAACCGCATTCGGAGGAGGCGCGGAGCACCAGGTCATTCCGCAGAGGCAGCCTCAGAGACACCAAAACCTAAAAGCGCGCGCTACAGTTACGAGCACGAGCACAACAGAATAAGGGCACTGCAGACCGACTTTCCCTACAATGCCTGAAGCACACAAGCAGCGGGGTGGCTGCCTGGGGTCAGGAGGGCACAGCCAGTACGGATTCCCTGCACCCTGCAGCGGGTGTAGATCAGCGACACAGCGCCTGCCTGGCAAGCGTAAGGTCCTGAGCTCAATCCACGGTACCAAAAAAAAACAAACGAAAGGACACTTCACCCAGTGTAGTCCCCTCCTCAGACTCCTCCACCCCTTAGCCCGAGGCCACCACTAAACTTTGCCTCTATTGTTGGCTGTTCATTAAAATGGAACTATACGAAAGGATCAAGAGTCATACATAGCGATGTACGCATCCCATGTTTACAGCGACACAGTCTGTAATAGCTGAATCTCCGAAACAGCCCAGAGGCCCAGAAACCAATGAATGCATAAAGTAGATGTGATTTCTACATACACAGTGGAGTACTATGCTGCCACAAAGAAGGATAAACTTGACACGTTTCTAGCTAAATGGCACCGTGAGACCATACTCTTAAGTGAGATTAATCAGACACACATGTCTAAACATTGTTTCTCTGGTGTGAGAAACCAAAAGCGGAAATGCGGGGCCGGGGAGGTAGCTCAGTAGCTCCTAAGCACAAGGTCCTGAGTTTGATTCCTGGTAAAAAAAAAAAAAAAAAAGTGGAGAAAAGGACTAAAATGTATACTAGATATTAGGAAATGGAAGAATACATTCAAATGAGAAAGGGAACAAGGAGGGGGAATGGGGGAAGAAAAGGCAAAGGAAGGAAAAATAGAAATAAAACCTGTAACTCAAGAGGGGTAGATGGGTTAAAGGGAGGGGAGGGGAATGGGCGGGAGCAAGATCTATCACCCACAGGGACAAATTCCCTATTACGAATATAATCGTTACGTGTCCAAAATGCACCGATAAACTTAATTTTAAAAAAATTAAAATGGAACCATTTATTAGCTGGGCATGGTGACACACAGCTCTTATTCCAGCCCTCGGGAGGCTGAGGCAGAAAGGATCCCTGCGAGTCTGAGGCCAGCCTGGGCTAATCGGTGAGACTGCATCTCAAAGCAAAATATTTACAAGGGCTAAGGGTCGGGGATGTGGCTCAGCAGTAGTTGCTCTTGCCTTTTCTGCATGAGGTTCTGGGTTCAATCCTCAGTACTGGAAAGAAAAATCCTTCCCCATGGATATTTTTCCATCAATTCAAGTATTTTGTTAGCGTGTCCGTTTGTTCGTTTGTTTTGTGGCGCTGGGGATGAAACTCAGGCCCTGTGCGCGCTGCTGCCCGCAGCCGCCGGCGGCCTCTGACTTCTGCCTGCCCCGCGGGCTGTCCTGTCCCTGCCTCCCCTCTCCTGTCTTCCCGGAGTTCAGGCCTCTCCTAGACTCCGTCACTGCAGCTTTCCCTGTTGACTCTGCCAGGTACAAAGCAAGATACTGGATAAAATACAAACCGGAGCTTCTTTCATAGGAAAACTCCCACAAAGGAGGCAATTCTCCCAGCTCAGTAGACAATGGGCAATTTGCAGACGGGGCATCAGCCGGCCTGCAACGTGAGCAGACACTTGGCCTCGCTGATAACAAAGAGAAATGCAATCGAAATAATAGTTCTGATCTAATAGATTAGCAAAACTGTTTCAAAATAAATTTGATTTTATCCCATCCCGCACACCCCCTCCCCTCCCTATGTACAAAAGCCTTGTTTCCGCGTTTTCTTCTAGTTTCCTTTCTTTTCTTGTCCCTCCCTTCCTCTCCCCCGCCCTCCTCCCTGTGCCCTTCCCACCGGAACACTCTCTTCCCATTTCCCAACATCCAGTACCCATCTCGGGCCTTCTTTCCACTCCGTTTCTCACAGCAGATAAGCGATGCGGTGTTTAAGCGTGTGTGTCTGAGTCACTTCACTTCAGAGGATGGTCTCGAGTCCATCATTTAGCTGGAAACGTCTGAGGCCCATCCTTCTCTGGCAGAGTAGTGCTGCTCCACGGTATAAAAAACCCACGTCTTCTTTATCCACTCGTCACGTGACGGGCGCTGGCGCTGTTTCCCAGATTTAGCTGCTACACACTGGGCGTGTGAATATCACTGTGGTACGGTGCTTTTCATTATTTTGGGAAGAGACCAAGAAGAGGGATAGCTGGGTCAAATTGGGATGTGAAAAGGAGGCAGCCAGGGCAAGAGGGACTTGTGGACATGAGGAAAGAATAAGAGTTTCATGGGCAACTATTCCTGCAGTGGCTGAGTGGGCACCCGGAAAAAAAAAAAAAAAAAAAAGAAAAGCAACCTTAAGTAGAAATTAGAGGGGTGGGGATGTTAGACACAAAGCAGGAGTGGGAGAGGAGGCCTTCGGCAGCCTCTTTCTGACACAGACTATCTGGAAAATGAATCTGTTTCCCCTTCAGACTTCGGAGTCAAAGTGGTTAATTAAAAAATCTCACAGTTACTCTGAAGCTAGCAGAGCACCGGTCACAAGGTGAGCGCCTGCCTTCTTAGACCTTAAATTGGAGCCCAGGAGGAAAATGTGCGAGGCGGCGGTGTGACCCCGAACACC